GAAAAAAGAAAGGCGAATAGGTAAAAGGGTTAATGTCTTAATACATCAATCCATGTTTTTTTGCTTAACCAATTAAGTCAGTCAGTCTCTGTCCATCCAGAATAGATTAAGTAAAAAAGAAACAATTAAGTGATGTGTGTGTGGTATGTGTATGGCTTATTGGCTTATAGTTGGTTTGTATTGTGGTTGCAGATGGTATTTTTTGGGCAGTGTTCCTGATAGCTAATGTTGCTGCATTGATTGCTTGTAGAACAATGACAACAGCAACTTTCTCATGTGTCAAACAATCAATAGGCCTCGGTTGTTTTCCTCGCCTCAAAATCATCCACACTTCTCGCAAATTCATGGGTCAGATTTACATCCCAGTTATGAACTGGTTTCTCTTGGCTGCTGCTCTTCTTCTTGTCACTTTCATTGCAAGCACCGATGAGATTGGAAATGCATATGGTATGGTGTATTTATCTTCACATCTCTCTTTAATTAATACTATAAATTTAAATAAATAAATAATACAGGAGTTGCTGAGGTTGGAGTGATGATGATGACAACTGTCTTGGTAATCCTCGTAATGCTTCTCATATGGCAGATCAACATCATTCTGGCCATGTCCTTTTTTGTCATTTTCGTTGGTTTGGAGTTGATATTCTTGTCATCTGTTTTATGGGGTATCAAAGATGGAAGCTGGATCATACTGGTGTTTGCTATGATGGTATTTTTCGTAATGTATATATGGAATTATGGTAGCAAGCTGAAACACGAAACAGAAATGAAGAAAAAAATGTCAATGGATGTGATGCGTGAGTTGGGTAGTAATCTTGGAACTGTGAGAGCTCCTGGAATTGGATTGCTTTACAATGAGCTGGCAAACGGCATACCTACTATATTTGGACAGTTTCTTGCCACTCTGCCAGCTGTCCATTCCATGATTATCTTCGTCTGCATTAAATATGTCCCTGTTCCTTCTGTCCCTCCTACCGAGAGATTTCTTTTTCGCCGTGTCTGCCCTAAAAGCTACCACATCTTTCGTTGCATTGCCAGGTCAGCATCTATCTTTCATTCAACCTTGTTGCATTGCCAGCTCAGCATCCATCTAACATCTACTATAATTTATTTTTTTTGACAGATATGGGTACAAGGACATTCACAGAGAGAACCACCAGATGTTCGAGCAGCTTCTGATTGAAAGCCTGGAGAAGTTCATTCGGCGGGAAGCAAAGGAACGGTCATTGGAAAGTGACGGGGATGACGATTCCGATTCCGGTTCCAATTCCGATTCCGAGTCTAAACGGGTTCTCATCGATACAAATGGGAGTTTGTATTCACTAGGCGCCCCTCTCTTGTCCAAAAACCGAAACAAAAACAAAACCACCACTGTAATCACGGAAGCAAGCACTTCACGACCACGTGAGCCGGAAACGGAAACGGAAAAGGATTCCGGTAGCAATGCCAATTCCATTCAGGACAAGAGTCTGGAGAACGAGCTTGCGGTTTTACGTATGGCTAAGGAATCAGGGATAGTTTATCTTCTGGGGCATGTGTCTATTAGGGCACGGAAAGATTCTTGGTTTATTAAGAAATTGGCCATAAATTATTTTTATGCTTTTTTGAGGAAAAATTGTAGGAGGGGGATTGCAACTTTAAGTGTGCCACACACACGTCTCATGGAGGTTGCCATTACTCACATGGTTTGATTCTAATTCTGCGTTGTTTGCCAGTTTGTTGTGTGTATTTTTGGATAGGGTTAAGCTTTTCTTAGTCGATTCGTGTAACAAGTATAGTTTGTTTCGGAGATGATTTAGTTGTAATTTGAGGGGCTAAAACCCAGAAAGAAAACGTTGTCTTTGTATTTTTTTTTAATATATGAAACAATATTGTTGTATTTAGTTTGGGGCTGAAATTAAGAGAGAATATTTAGATACGTGTTTTAAAAGTTAAATATAGAATGTTTATATGAGACATTATTATGTATTTCATGTTGTGGGAATTGGGATGAGGAGTTTATTCCATTAAGGAAACATGAATGTGCTCCCATACTTTAAGACTCTTTAATGTATATTAGAACAAAAAAAATATCAATTATATGTGTATATTCTTAAAAATTTAGCATCGGTTAGCTTATGTTCTAGCTGAAATAATAGTTAATTGATGACTAAAAACTAGATGAAATAAAAATAACTTTCAGAAAAAATTAGTGTAAAACTAATGATAAACTAGTTGGAAAATGTAGAATGGCAAAAAAAAAAAAAAAGCCGGAAGATTTATTAAATATTATAAGACAAACATGTAATATATTTATTAATTTAAAGTAAGTAAAACAGTAAATTACTATGTGGTTTGGTTAAAATTATGCGTTTAGTCTATTTAGTTATTTATTTTTTTCACTCAGGACAATCTTTATGATATTTTTTTGTTACAGCTTTTGTCTCCGTCAAATATAAAAAGACTATTCTGCCATTGTATAATTCTTTTTTAATTTGTTTATTTTTTTAAAATTATTTTTATTAATACTTAATCAGGTGGGTCATACCTATCCACACCTGACACTCATCATCATCATTATCATCGTTGCTTTCATCCTAACGTAATCATTTTTTAACATCTTCCTTCTACCATTTATTAGCTCTGACGAACACATAAATCTACCGAACATAGAGAACTAGCAAACACCACATGCCACCATCATCCACCAAAACATCACCACCACCACCATTGAGTGTCATACCTTCCTCTTCCTAACCCACTCTTGGATATTTTTTTCCTACAATGTTTCTTCTCCACCAATCATTACCTCCGTCAATCAACACCACTCACCTCGGTAACCACCACATGCACCAAATCAAACGAAACCAAAAACAAACTTGATGAAAATAGCCATAATAAAAATATAAAAAAATGTCTAGTAATGATAAAGTAGTTTTTTTTTTTAATCTATGACTAAGACGAAAATAATAACAAAAAAATAAATATCATAAAAATGGTACGAATGCATTAAAAGAAGATAAAGATTAAACTTGACAAAACCATAACAATAATACGAATACAAAAATAATAATAATAATAATAACAGAGACTAAACGTGTAATAGTTTACTCGATAATAAATAAAGCTTAGTAGTAGTTGGTTGGTGGGTTGAAGGTCCGGCCCGTTTGGCGGGTCAACAACAATCCTTATCGGAACTTTGGGAGACCGCATAATCATTTCCAGTCAAACAAATTCTTGGTCTACGTCGACTCCACATCATTCATTCCCTCTGTGACCTTCGCCTAATTCAAGTGTCCACCGCCATGAACAACATCATCATCATCATCATCTAGGTAGGTAAGACTAATTCTGTAGAAAGTTTTATTCACTTTGTTTCAATCGAGTGTCCAGTAATCAGGTTTTTCTTTTTTCTCGATTGATTCTCTTACGTCCTTTGATTGCTATGATTGTTATAGTTTATTCAGTGGTATATACGGATCTGAAGTCTCTTTAGGGAAATTTACATTCAATGAGATTAGGAATTTCTTATGATAATGGATAGAATTGTGTGATTTGGTATTCGATGTCGAAATTGTTCCCGTGTTACTGTTTTGATTTGTTTTTTCTCATCATTTTCGTCATATGACTTCTCTACAAAACTTATCGTTATTTCACAAAAAATAAAACATGATTGTATTTGTGGTAGACAGTATAAAACATGGACGCCAGCAGTTTTGTGTGTTGATGAAAGCTCAGTCCGAAATTAAGGCTGTAATTAAACTGGAATCATCTATTAATTTCATATGGTCCAAAATAGGAGTCATTTAGCAAATGTTGAGAAGATCAAGGACACATGCAGTTATGAGTAGTGAAGTTAAACACTTTGTGTCTTTTACTCCAAATATAATATCTGTTTTGGGGAAGAAATGAAAATCCAGATATTAGTAGTATTATGTTTGGACTTTGGAGTTTGTTTTATCTGAAAATTGATGCTTCTATCACTCAACAGGATAAGATATAGAATATCACTAATGTTTAACTTGAATGACAATAGTTCACAGATAGTTAGAACAAAGTTACTTGTTGTGCATGTAACTATTTGCTACAAATTGTTATCGTAGTTATGCTTGGGAATCTTCATGTCGCAACTTTTCTATTAAGTTCATATTCTGTATGTATACAAATCCGAATTATGTATAAGCTCTTTTATTGAACAAATGTCTGTAATCTGTATGGCTAAAGTCTAAACCACATTTGGGTTATATAAGTTATATAACATAAGATTAAAGCAATGATTTATAAGCTTTCCTCTCCCTTCTACAAGTTTTTATGACAAAACTCAAATTCCTTTCTTCTTCTATTCTGCTTGCAAGCGGGGAAGAAACTTATTCTTTCTTTATGAAAGAAAAAGGCTATATATACGCAAGGGTGGTTTTCTAATTATAAAAATCTAGTGTTCATCTCTCTCTCTCTTTTTTTTTTTTTTTTAATCTCTCTTTCATTTTGGGAATTAAGTTGTGAAAGGAAAGTGCTCAGATATTCTCTTTTTCTTAAAAACGTATAGACAAAGGAATTTGAGCTTTATCTCTTCTGTTTCTGTGATAGTGGCATGTTCTTGTCAATAGCCATACATATTACATCCCATCACTCTTGTTGTTTCCTTTTAAGCATACTTTTACTTAATTATCATCTCCATTTTTTCTTCTTTCCATCAGATATTCCTCTATATCTTTGTATAGATAAAGTTTCACACGGGTAGTAGTCTCCATATTCACTTTGTTTGGCAAGAAATTGTTATACACACGAAAAGAATCTTTTCAGACGCAGGGTATATCTAATCTACTATTTCAGAACAAACGCTGCACTTTCCTTATATACCTTTTTTTTGTTTAACATTACACATCAAAAGTTGAAACAACCAACTATACCTAATTCCTAAATTTCATCAACAAAAAATCAAACAACCATCTTACCCTTACACTATACAAATGCAGAATACTTTTGATTATTGGATTTGAGATTCTAATTCTACACAAGCAATGTCAAGTGGCAACAATACACATTGGTGTTACCAATGCCAACAACCAGTCCGGCTTCGGGGCCGTAACCCAGTATGCCCATACTGCTCCGGTGGGTTCGTGCAAGAACTGAGCGAAGTGGTCGAGCCCGGTCCACAAAACATGGGGACCGGGCCCACTCACTCGCACGAACCGTCCGAGTACGGTTTCATGGAACCGTACCCGGACCCTAGGAACAGAATCATGGATGCTTTTGCCGAATTAATCAGACAAAGAATGTCTGGAAGAAACCCTAATTTTGACGTTAGAAGAAGATCCGAACACGGTGTGGTTCCATGGTTCATATTTGACGGTCAAGCCCCGGCTCGGATGTCGGCTAATGACCGGTTCGAGTTCTTTTTTAACGGTGCACCACCGGGTCCACGGCGGTCTAATGTTAGTAACATTTTCATGGGGCCGGGGTTGCAGGAACTGATTGAACAACTTACGGTTAATGGTGGTGGGGGTAGTCAGGGCCCACCACCAGCAACCCGGTCAGCGATTGATTCTATGCCAACTATTCGGATTAGTAATAGACATTTGAACACGGATTCTCATTGTCCGGTTTGTAAAGATAAGTTTGAGTTAGGGTCGGAGGCTAGGCAAATGCCGTGTAACCATATTTACCATTCTGGTTGTATTGAACCGTGGTTGGTTCAGCATAATTCTTGTCCGGTTTGTCGGGTGGAGTTGCCGGCTCATGGGATGAGTAGGGGAAGCAGCAGTGGTGGTGGAGGGGAGGAGAGTGGCGGACCTGGGCGGGGACGGAGGAATCCGTTATCGTTTTTGTGGCCTTTTCGCTCGTGAAAGTGGAAGCGAAACGAAACGAGCAAGTGATTTGTCTGATATAGTTATTAAGTTTTGTTGTGTGTGTTGGTGTTGGTTTTGGGTGTTTTTTATGTGTATGTTTGGTTGCTATATATTATAATATATGATAATATGAAATGTTAAACTTAATCACATCTTCACATGTGTGTGTGCATGTAAATATGGTCATAAACGTTTCATTTCCCAGAGCTGAAATTTCAAAATCCAATTGAACTTGAGATTTGGAATTTTGGCTCTAGTGACTTGTGAGTTGATGCCAAAGATTGTCATATGTTTAAGTCATTTTGACGTCAGGAGGGGTATAACTAGCTAGATATATTTGTCTCCATTTTACCAGTTTTGTTATACGACAGATATTTTTGAAACTGACCTGATAATGGGTCGTTAAGATTATCTAAATAGTAAATATCTTGATATAAACCTACAAATACGTTCTTAAGCTTTGATTTAAATTTTATATATTAAAAAACTGATCTCGAAATATGTAAAGAAACTAACATCACCCGCACGATGCATCAGAAACTTTGAAAAGGATTCAATGGTAAAAATAGTAACGTACTTTTAAGTTGATATTATGAATTTTGATTGGAGATACAATTGTGAGTTTTAAATTAGAGATTTTTTAATACGTATAAGAAGTATTAATTATGAAAAATATTACCATAATTAAATTCAAAATACATTTATTATGGAGATTATTAATGCATGTCACATTTAATTAAAGTAATATTTTTTATAATTAATGTATTTTACATTTAATTATAGTAATATTTATCATTAATTAATACTTTTTATATGAACCATTAGGGCACATATTAGAAAATTCATTTATTGTTAGTTTATGTTTTTCCATTTGATATTTTATTTGAATAAACAAGAAATTAGTTGAATTATGTATCTTGGTGATATTTTGTACTGAAATAAACTATGAAGAGCAACGATTTTAAACAAATGCAGTTAGTTTCAAATCAAATGATATTTAGGGTAAAGTTCAATGAAAAATGGCATACAATTTATTATTATTTTTTTGTGGATTTGAATACAATTCTTAATGACTTTTAATAATGATATAATCGAAACTATATATATATATATATATATATATATATATATATATATATATATATATATATATATATATATATATATATATATATATATATATAACGAAACAGAAATATGTTATGTCTATATTTAGATTGAGCCAAATTTATATTATTATTAAAAAAAATTGTACGGTCTCAAACATGTATTCAGATTTTATACCAAGCATTTCTTAATAAGAGTAATGGTAGAAAATAAAAAAATCAGGCTATGTATATCGAAAACACATATATTAAAAGAGTAATAAAGTTATTTATATAATTGATAACTAAAAATAGTAAAGTTCAAGGGTATATCTAACTTTATACCGAATATGATGTGATAAAAACTACATATGGCCAGTCATTGTGTACAGGTGCTCGAGCTAAAGATTTTGAGAAGTATATATATATATATATATATATATATATATATATATATATATATATATATATATATATATATATATATATATATATATATATATATAGAGAGAGAGAGAGAGAGAGAGAGAGAGAGAGAGAGAGAAAGAGAGAGACTCGGTATCTAATGAATTTAACATGAACAGAAATTTATATATCTTTATCTTTACTATTATATAAAACATATTGGATTGGATGTTTCTGGAATTTTAAGGGGTATAATTACTATTACATAGGGGTGGCAAATCGTGCTATCGTTTCGTGTTTTTGTCTGACACGACACGACACGACAAGGTTTTATGTAACACGAACACGACACGATGTCGTGGTTTTTTTAGCTAACACGAAAACGAACGAATTAAAAAACGACAAACACGACACGACACGAAAAATATAACATATACTAATAACTAGTTTATTTAATGAATACTTTATCAAATATAACACAACAAATACGACAAACACGAAAAACACGATAAAGAACTGCTAAATCGTGTCAATTTCTTAACACGAACACGACACGACATCGTGTTTTTTACAGTTAACACGAACACGACACGAACACGAATTCAAATTTTAATTTCGTCCCAATTTCGTTTCGTGTCGTGTATTTTTGTCGTGTCGTGTCATAAATTGCCACCCCAATATTACATCAAATACCATCATAAAATGCTTGGAGAAAACGCTGAACAATTTAAATGGTAACTCCTATCCTAGCCACCAATCTTGCCCTAACGATCCATTTCTCACTCCAATAACACTTGCATTCTCTTTTGTCGGCACAATTAATCCTTGTTTTGCACGGTTGCACCCATGCTTTGCTTTCTCACCCATTTGTGGCCGCCCTTCTTTTTCACTATTCTTCGAAACCCTAATCCTTCCGCATCCTTTTGCCTTCAACTACCTACAATGGTTGTTGCTAACTATTGTTTCTAATGCTTCAATCTAGATTTCTGACTACGAAATAGGAACATCAAGCAAAGAAAGAATAATCAATCCGAGTTTACAGTTTATTTTAGTTTGTATTTTGTGTTCTTACATTCATTTTCAATTTTGTAAATTTTTCTTTGGAAATATCTTTTAACTGGATCTTCAGGATAGATTCAAATCACACAATGAAGAAATCGATCACGGAGACTTAGCAGAAGGGGGAAGATTATAATGAAGGTTATGATGATTGTATCTGCCTTATTATATGTGGTATCTCCCAACATCCACCTCTACGTACCACTTTTAGTTATAAGAAGTAGAGATATTCATTTGTTCTTTTTATATTTTGTTGGTTGATTTATTTTAAAGAAAATGTAAGTTTAGTAAGTTTGGAGGCATAGTTCCTTCTGGACCATCTAGAGATTTTGTTGTTGTTAAATTTATTCAAAGTGGTAGACCTTTTGTCAATTACAATAGGTAAATTTACAAGTTTTGTTGTAACGTATTTCATTAATTATCTATTAATTGGTAATATCACAAAAGAATTTTTCTCTTTTGTTGTTTTTTTTTTTTATGGTATTACAGAGGAACAAATTTTGTATGAACTGCAGGTGTGGCATGTTTATTGAAACAAGTTATCACTATGATGCCCTTGATGTATTGGGTATGTCATATAGTCATTTTATATTTGATATTAGATGTAAAACCCATGTATTATATGGGTTAATTAAAAAAATTAAATATAAATATCTAAATATTTAAGAACTTTAGATTTATAAGAAAAAAAAAAAAATAATGAATTATTAAAAATTAGTATATTTTTTATCTTTTAAATTTAAATAAACAATGAGCTTTAATTAGGGAATTTTAAAATGAGAACGTAAATCCATTAATGAAATTGATATTCATTTATTATTATATTTATTATAATTATTACATTAAAGTATTATGTGGAATTTATTAAATAGAAAAACCCATAATAGGACATGTGAAAAAAAATTAATTCAAAATAACTAAAAAATAACATTTGACTAATTAAATGAGAGTGTAACCTATGGCAAAAAAAAAAAACTTTTATTTATTAGAATAGATTAGCATGCAAACACGAATTTAGTATGTAATAAAGATATCATCGGTTATCTAGAATATAAACTTATTAGATGCCAGTTTGTCGCATGATTGATAATCATGCAACAAACTGGCATCTGATAAGTTTATATTCTAGGTAATAGAGGATATTAAAGCTTTAAAATCGTCTGTGTCTTTGTAAAACTTTTTCTTCCATGTATGTATTAAATTTGTTTCTCTCATTTTGTTGATTTCCGATATGGAACCTCTACATTTTTCTTCATTAATCAATCGATGTCTCACACTTCTGATGTCTTCTACTATTACCTTTTCCTTTTCTCTTTCTTAATATGCAGACATGGGTAGATCTCATATCTCCCAATCACGAAGCATTAAAACCCTAACAAGATTTGTTTTTTTATTTGTTTTTTTTCTACTTTTTTCAATCATAACCGTTTTTGGGATATATACCTATTGCTCCATCAAACTTTGGAAAATATTACCTGTTTTGATTTTAATTTCATATTAAAGGAGCAATATGTAACGCCTGTGTTTCCCGGCTAGGCATTAATGATGATGTAATAGTTTAGGTTAGTTTTTGTAACCCATTTTGAAATAATAAGAATGTATTATTTGAGTATTATGTGATTTATGCATAATTGTTGTGACTTAATTCAATTAAGGATAATTTAAGCGTTAAAAACAAAATGTTAGATAAACCCGATATCTATGAAGGAAGTTGTAGTGGTCGTGATGAGGTTTACGAATATATATAGAATGCCGAAATCCGAGCTATAACGAAAAAGTTATGACCTGTCGAAGTTTCGCGACAAAACCGGCACGGCAAGGCATGACGTAAATAGTGAATTTACGTTAGAGTGATATTTAGCCTTAGTGATCTAAAGGGAAGTCGTAGAGTTCGTTAAACTGAGAGCGTGCATAAAAAGAACGTCTAAATCTGACTTCGTATGAGGAAGTTATGATATTTCGAAGTTTCGACTTAGTAGTACACAACCCGAAGTTTGAATTTGAGATCGAGTGACTTTTCGCCGAAACAATCTAAATGAGAATTGAAGATCTCATTGATAGTAGTCCAACGGAAGAAAGACAGACGAAAACAGACGTCAGATGAATAAGTTATGATTTTCTAACGGAGTTTCCTGTCCCGGCCTACTAAAAATAAATAATAAAAATAAACTCAAAATTAGCCGACGGAGTCGAAATAAAAGTTGTAGAGTATAGTCTCACCTACGTGTGGATATAAAGAACGTCGAAAACGGAGCTCGTATGCGAAAGTTACGCAAGTTTGAAGTTTGCTTATTCGAGTTACGCCGAGCGTAATGGAGTACGCCCAGCGTACCCGGAACCGCCTCAGCTACGTCACCTGGCCTCACTCGAGTACCATACGCATGCAGTGACGTCGCATACGCCCAACATACCTAGGATTACGCCCAGTGTAATTGGAGGTTCCAGCCC